TTCGCAAATTGTATGACATGATCATTGCCTACTGGCAATGTCGCAACGGACATGAGCAGGCCACGGAGACCTTGTGGACAGAACTTCAGAGTCCAAAGTACGGCCACTTGCGCTGGCAAACAACCCTGGGCCAGCAGCATGACACACTTGAATTGCTGGAAAAAATCATCTCGCTCCTCGAGAATCACACAAGCCAACCCTAGTAAGTCGCGCACTTTCCGTATTCCATAGAACATAATAATCATGAAGCTGACAAATAAAGCAATGGCGACCTCATGGATTTGATGACCGTCGCACTGAGCCAGTGCCGCGTTTGCAAGACATGCAAGCAGAAAGACTCAGCGCCTGGGGATAGGGTAAGGTACATCAATGCAGATCTCCCAGGTTCAAAAAAAGCTGCTTCCATAGAGGAGGCCATCATTAGTGGGATGAAGTCGGAGACTCTTTTGGATTGCAAGACATGCGCCACTAAACAAATCGCTCATGAGATTCAGAGTCAGATACTATTTCCTTCAGAAATTCTTGTCGTTCAGGTCAATCGATACAAAGAGTCGGGGAAACTGAAAGACGAAATCGAAGTTCAGGGAGAGTTAGTCATTCCAGATTCTCTTCTAGATGACAGTGTTAAGGGACAAGGCAAGATCGGTTACGAGCTCTATGCTGTCATCTTTCATATCGGCCATGACAGTAAAAGCGGACACTATACTGCGGCCGTCAAGGGTCCCTCTGGTCAATGGGTGATGACCAACGACAAACGCGTGACATTTACCCAGACACTGGAAAAGAGCATGAGCTCGCCAGACGGTGGAAAGGAGAATGCTTACATACTTGCGTATCGGCGACTGGAATCCCAGAGCAATTCAGCTGACTCCAATACAGGTACATCGGCCGCTGTCACGTCCCCCAGCACCAAAGGATCATGCACTGGTCAGAGCTCGGCCCCTTCAGGCCATTCCAATGGCGGCTCCTCAAATGCATCAGGCTCGGAAAAAGGGCCTGTCAAGGGTTGTGTACAAATGAGAGGGACCATTGAGCTGGAAGGGAGACCCATCCAATGGACGATCAACCAGCGGCTGGTCCTGGACCCAGGTAAGGGTGCACTTGTGGCACTGGGGCGCAGAGAAAGAACGCAGCGTGCTACTCTGCAGCTGACGCTCACTTCAGAAGAAACCGGTGAGATCCTCGAGGGACAAGTGACCATGTCGCTCAAACCACGAGTAGTGCAGAAGCCGAAGAGAGCGCCTTCAAAGACCGCAGACACCAAAGATTGCAAGGCTGGTACCAAGACAGTAACGGACACAGTGTTTGGGAAAGCAGCCAAGCCGAGGGGTGTCACAAAGAAACCCTCGAGTCCGCCAAAAGGAGCCCGTCAATCGGCGAGGCTGCGCAGTAAAGCCAAAAAATGAAGAGTGCAAAGCCACATCGACTGGGTATTATATGCAGAGTAAGTATACGTGGGTGGGAGCTGATGCTGACATTTTCGCCTCTGCACTGATTGCGGTCCTTTTGTTCCTTGTGTAACTGATATCCCGCATGTGTTTATGTATAATAGACATTGCTTATTTATAACTTGTTGAATTCTTTCAAAGGGAAATTTAGTGCCTGTAAAAAAGCGAGAAAGTCACAAATTGTTCTTATGGTAAGTGGGGACTTAATCGATGATGCCCGAGCTTTTTCATCGTCTATCTAGACAAGCTGAAAACATCCCATCAAGCATACGTACTTCCATGGAGTCAGCGCTGGAAGATGACCACAGAAGCCTACCTTCAGCTACCCAGTTCATTGACCGACTGATTTCACGACTTGCATCATGTAGACCCGAGGCCCAGGATCCCAACGATGGGATGGACCATCCCATCGAACGTCCTCAACGACACACTTCCACAAGCCAGTCACCTTTCTCTTCGCTCCCCGAGGCTCAGTTATCTCAAGTCAAGTCAGTTATGCTGACTTTGCACTGTTTCTTCCCAAATGAACTTCTCCTGGCCCTAGATATTTTGGACCGGGGACTGGTCAGACGATTCATGCGGGATGACCACGTCGGGCAAGCACCTGCATGCTCACAGCCTGAAGAAACCGACACCAGCGCCACAGAAAGGCCGCAAGAAGCCATGTTCTATGTTATATCCACGTCTGCGGCTGCTCCGACCTCTCCATCTCGGGTTCCCCGGACACGCGTAGAGCAAAAGGGCTACGAAGTCCGCCTGCACGCCTGGAACTGCACTTGTCCCACCTTTACGCTCAATGCCTTCCGCGATCCGGGACCGGCCTACTCATCTCAGTTTGATGGAGAAGCCGAAGACGAAACCCTGGCTGAACAGTCTACCGTCGGCGACGACCCGACTTGCCGCTATGTTTTTGGCGGCTCGTTGACCCGTGGACCCAGCCGACTGGCTCCCCCTGTCTGTAAACATCTCCTCGCGTGCTTGCTGATAGTGCGCTGTCCTGAAGTCTTCAGTAGCAACAGCCGTGGTCAAGCTGGTCCTGTCTTTCTAACTTGCGAGGAATTGGCGGCGTGGTATGCTGGTTGGGGTGGATGATCTTCGCAACCACGCAGACATTGATCAACAGATATAGCTATGCCTCTGTCCTTGGAAGGCCCTAGGTACCATGATACGAGAGCCTACACCCTCCCTAAAAGGTATTCAGACTATCATTTCAGCAAAATCTTTCAGCTGTGTGCCTGCCCGTTTGCCGGGAAATGGGCATTTATTCTGCCACAAATGTCAGGCACGTCAGGGGAGCCTTAACCTTTGAAACATTTGACGGCGACGCAACTATGGACAAGGCGCTTTCAATGCGCAGTATCATGGATACTTCCAAAAAGAATCTAAGGGGGGAGTTTCACATACGAAATTTCGGGCTTGTCTACAGTCCAGCATCCGATGGCGTTTTATATCGCGAAGGAATGAATATTTCCAAAACTGCTCGAGCTGGCTTGGTGCGTGCTCGGGACACGATTGATTCTCAGATTATCGTAATATACACTTCCATGCATAAACTGAATTGTTTTAATTCTCATGCCAGTTGTGCCATTGTTGAATGACACTTCTAGCTCTTCTTCTTGGACTTCTCCTGATCCTCCTTTTGCTCGCCGCTCATGCCATTCGCCGTCTTCGCACCATCCTTGTCACCTTTGGCAGCGTTTGCTTCTTGCTCCTTCTTCGATTCGTTCTCTTCTTGTTGTTGCCGGTTCTGGATCTTGTTCTCAATCAAATCGTGGAAGGCGGTGATAGCACGAATCAGGCTGCTGATGTAGATGGCCATCAATTGATCGTTGGTCTTAATGCTCATTGCCCGTGCTAGTTCACTGTTCTCCATCTGTGGCTCCGATCCACTCAGACGTGACGTCGTTGCTGGAGTAGATAGGTTGGGAAGAAGATTGAACACATCCTGAAGATTGCCAAGAATAGCGTGATTGACCGGCAGCTCGTGATCAAGGACCTTCTGGAGATATTGGCCGATATCACGCAGGCGCAAGTGCAAACCCTGCAGCGACTGAAGCTGCGATGTTATGCGTGTTGAAAGGGTTCCAACGGCAACGTCCCTGATGTCTCGAAGCAGGTGTTCAACACCGATTTCCTCAGCCTCCTCGGCCTCGATCACGGAAGGGGTATGGACAAATGTTCTGGACGTTGTTGTGCCATCCTACGTAGAGCGAGCGAACCGGTTAGTTGAATATGATTGAAGAGCTCACAAGGGCATCGCACGGGATCAACCTACGTCCTTGATCTCGTCAACAGCAAAATAGGCATCTGTGGGAACGCCGACTTCCTTTGGTTGGACGTCAACAATGACCAGTAAGGGGTTCGGTGTGTATCGTTTGAAGAGTTCGTTGATTTCAAGATCAGAGGCTCGTAATTTGGGACCCGAGTGATACCATCCGACAAGCTTCTCACGGGCGTTGATCTTCTTGAACATGTCTCTCATTGACTCAACAAAGTTATGATCTAAGAACCAAACGGAGGGATCCTTCTCATCTTCCTCAAATGGAACTAAAAGATAGAGACATCAGTACCGCCCTCCATCTACCAAGGAACATAACTGAGCTGATTTGGGGGACGACGCACCTGCAAAGCTGTTGGATACTCGAACGGTCTGGCCCGAATTCTCTCCGAGGAGCACACCAACAACACGCTTCCGAGTTCCCTTGGCTGACCGTCCATAATGATCTGCGACTGAAAGAAGGACTAAGGGAGCTACCGTGACGGTGCGCGTGACGAGGGAGAGTGTGTCCGCCGTGGTGGCAGGCATGGTGGATCGAGATAAGACGAGAACGGAGGCAGAATGGAGGGTACTGGAAGGCCCTGAATTGACCGCAGACGCTGATTCCGATTGCACGGAAGAGGGGAAATAATTGTGGGAGCGACGGAGACAGAGAGAAGCCAATTAGTGGTTTGATAACGAGGATGGGGATCAGGATGAGAATGAGAATGAGGAGGATTATGATGATGACGGAGCGAGAGATCGAGCTGCTGTTGTTCTGCCCTGGAGCTCCTCCGCTGCTGAGCCACGCGAGCTTTGGTAGTCTTTGTGGCTTGTGCTAGGCTACCCTGGGCACCAGCCACTTTAGGGCCTTATTGCCTGAGGCCACTGGTCGGCACTTGTGCACCTTCAATCATTCAGCATATACTAATAATTATGGACGTAGAAAGCCTCGTTTAAAGGAATTGAAAGTCACGACGACTGATTACACGTGCCCATATATTATCCCGATTCAGTCGCTACTCGTAGGTGCTGGAGCGTTGTACTTGACCAGTGAACCCCGAACCTCGGGCGCGCGGGAGAATGCTCCGGTTCAGATCTCTTTTCCTCCAAGAATTAGTTCTCCGATCCTCCCTTCCTTTCCGTTTCCCCGTCACTGAGCACTATTCTCTGCCAGGCACCTTGATTCCTTTCCCCTCCCTCTCCTTTCCCTTCTTCCCTTTCCTGTTTCTGTTCCTCTCCGGAGAGCTTTTCGATAGCGTCATACTTCGATTCTCTCGCCGTCAGTAATCGCAATGGCTCCCATCACAGAAGAGGTCGTCCACGGTCTTAAGGACATGATCGAGAAGCTTGAGACTCGTGTGCAGGAGTTGGAGGGCCGTCTCGGCGGTGAATCCAAGCCCAAGTCTATCGCGGAGCAGATGCGCATTGTCCTTATGGGACCTCCCGGTGCTGGTATGAATTGTCCGGTTCTCTACAAGGGTCGCCATTTGCGATAATGGCTTCATGGTTCTGATGGGGTTTTAGGCAAGGGTACTCAGGCGCCTCGGCTTAAGGAGAAGTACTGCGTGTGCCACCTGGTACGTTATTGAATTGCAAGTAATTGAGGAAAGTGCGCGTCTGACATATCGTGTCCAACCTCAAAGGCTACCGGTGATATGCTGCGGTCCCAGGTCGCCAAGAAGACTGAGCTCGGAAAGGAGGCCAAGAAGATCATGGACCAAGGTGGTCTTGTCAGCGATGAGATTATGGTCAACATGATTAAGAACGAGCTTGACACCAACACCGAGTGCAAGAATGGGTTCGTACACACGTGCCTTATTCAGGTTCTTTCAAGTTGAAGATGGAAAATGACTGACCGTCCAATGTTTCCAGATTCATTCTGGATGGCTTCCCTCGTACCGTTGCTCAGGCCGAGCGTCTGGATGACATGCTTGAAGCTCGTAGGCAGAAGCTCCAGCATGCTATTGAGCTGCAGATCGACGATGCCCTCCTGGTCGCCAGAATTACTGGACGTCTTGTCCACCCTGCCTCTGGACGGTCGTACCACAAGATCTTCAACCCTCCCAAGAACGATATGAAGGATGATGTCACTGGCGAGCCTCTGATTCAACGTTCCGATGACAACGCCGAGACGCTGAAGAAGCGTCTTTCAACTTACCACGCCCAGACAGCCCCTGTCGTCGAATACTACAAGAAGACCGGCATCTGGCGAGGCATTGACGCCAGCCAGGAGCCTGGCCAGGTGTGGAAGAGTTTGCTCGGTGTTTTCCAGAAGTAAATGTAGAAAGTCTTCTGGAAGGTACCGTATGGGTCCACGAGCGTGCATCATACATCCCCCGTAACATCCCCTGCCGGCAAGGGGAGGTGGCATGTGCGAAGGAACGTTCTGAGATGATTCCATGTAATCTGCAAGATTCTCTTGGTGGACTACAGAGGAGGGCATTTGGAGAGTCCTTTTGGCGTCCGTACATAAAGATACCTTCAGTGGAATTAGAGCGCTATGTATAGTATCTTTTGTTTGGCGACCAAAATTCACTATGTTCAGCCGGATACCCAGGTAAGAGGCCAGCCATGTAAAAGTGACTACTCGATCTACGGCCACAGAGCCAAGTATATATACATTTCTGCAAACCTTAGAGCTGGGTAGGGTAAACGGTGGACTCGATCTTCTCCGGATAGGTCAATCCACCCTGGCGTCTAATCTCGTCCATAACCTCCATGATGACAATGCTCTCTTCAAGAGGCAGCCCATCGCTCTCGAGCTTTCCATCGCGCAAGCACCGCGCCACCTCGTCGGCCTCCCAGTACATACCCTTCCCATCCGCCGGGAACGGGCACTGCACCTCCTTGATCTCGCCAAGTCCCTTTTTGGGGATTAGACGGTACCGCTCGGGCCGGAAGGCAGGCCCAAAGACCTGAATCTCGCCCTTGGTCCCTTGGATGCGGATCGAGGGACCAGCGGCGCCCTGCTCGTCTGGATCGGTCGCGACCCGCAGATGGGTCATGGCGACTGCCTGCGATTGACCGGGCTGGGCATTGTTAGTTGGGGTGGTCGTTGGGAACGTGAGAAGGATGGTGGTGGCCTCGTCGGCACCCGTCAGGTGGTAGAGAGACATGTGCGCGGAGATGGCCGAAGGAGCTTTGCGCTGCTCCCGTGGAAGAGTGTGGTACATGGTCTGGAAGACCCAGGTCAAGGAGTAGATGCCCACTGCAGCGAGACGATCATTAGGACCATGCCAAATGGCTCAGGGAGTCGGTCAAAGGAAGAGGCAACTTACGATCCAGCAAGCAGCCACCAGCGAGATCCTTGTTCACCATCCGATGCTGAGTGCCCCATCGCTCCTCGACGTTATCCCCGAAGCTGTTGTCGGCAACCACCCGGAGAACTTCGCCGATGGCTCCCTGCTTGATGAGGTCTCGGACCTGCACGCTGAGAGGGAAGTACCGGGTCCACACGGCCTCCATCAGGAAAAGGTTCTTCTTCTTCGCCGTCTCGCATAGGATCTTCGCCTGCGCCGCATTGACGGTGAAAGCCTTCTCACAGAGAACATTCTTGCCTGCTTCCAGTGCAAGCATCACATTCTGGAAATGGTGCGAGTGGGGCGTCGCGACATACACCACGTCCACGTTAGCATCGGCCACGAGCTCTTCGTACGAGCCGTACGCAGTACAGGGCGCCGGGATGCCCGTATCAGCAATGAACTTCTGCGCCCGGTCCTTGGCTGAAGAGGAGGCAACGGCAACGACGGTGTGAGAGACGTCAGATGCGTCTCGCAGATTGGGGTCGCGCAGAAGGTCTCTTACAAAGACTAAGCGTCAAGTAATTGCATTAGCTGTTATGCTTGTCTCGATTGATCATCGCTTAATTTGCGGCTTGTTCAGAGGGAAATCATGGCGACCTACTATCTGCAATCCAGCCGGTGGCTATGTTTTATTTGAAGTCTTGTCAGCTTAGAATGCCTCTGTGGTGCGTACAAGGGTGGATGGAAAACATACCCATAATACCCCACCGGATATTGTACGGAGCCATGGTGACGTCGGAGGATGGACAAAAGGCAGTCGAACTATACAGCAGAGAAGGATGGCGTCAAACGGAGACAGAGAACTTGGGAGCAGGACTTGTATTTATAAGAACACACAGTTCATCTGGGCTTCTAGACTACTCCAACTATGTTTATGAATAATAGAGGGTCCTCGCCAGAGAGCGGGGCAGGCCCAAACGGCATTCATTATCTTCCTCATCTAGGATTACAAGGGGGAAAATAAACCGTGGGGTACAAGATTCAGTTGCCTTTCTCGGATTAAGTATTTGTTTATAGAATGTTCTATGAAGAATTGTATGGAATACATGTACGGCAATGCTCGTAGATAGTCAAAAAACCCCCAAATCCTCTCAAAAATAGTGCGGGGTCTTGAATGCAGTACAGCCGCCGGCTAAATGCAACCACCAAAAAGAGTAGATTAATGTCGACTCCGACGAATGTATATCGCCCCTGGTCCCCAAAGCAGAATGTAAGGACCTACGTATCGAAGTTGAATGAAAGAGAGCAAGTACCACTTTCTTCACACAGGTTCCATCTTGACCCGAACATTTGACCCGGGAGAGTCAGTTCCCTGCACGGTGAATTAGTTTGATACGTGCAAACTTTCTGCTGTGGTGGATCGAACATACCTCTGCCTTCCTCTTGCCCAACACCGAATCCGGTGTTCCAGTCCGTGCTGAAGGCGTGCCCCGACCTGCAGCCGTAGTCGTCCCGTCCTTTGTAACTTCCGCATAGCAGCTGGCGTGGTATATCCGGTTCCCAACCTTGACGGCATCCTGCCATATCCAGTCTTGGACTTCCTCCGACCATGTCGACTCAAAAGTCTCTTGACAAATGGGACAGGGCGTGTTGCGCAAAGTAGCATCATTGGGAGCCCGGATCCATTGCTTGGGCGGGCCTTTCTTGGTTGAATCGTTCTCAGCACCTGCAGCACCGGCACTTGTAGCTTCTGCCTCTGCAGGATCCTCATCGTCTCCGGCTTCGCGGGATTTTATCCAATCCTGCCCAGTCGTTAGTAAGAATCTCTAAAACATGAATTTTGGACAAAGAGGAATCCACTCACCCGTTCATCAACGTACCAGCTGCGGTTTTGCGCTCGCTTGGCAGCGTCCGCCATCCGTTGGTTGGTTCGAAAGTGCCAGTCCAGATGGCGAGCTTTCTTTTCTTTTCCTTCTTCTGTCGCAAAGAATCGACGGCCACAGGTCCCACAACGGTTGGATCTCGCTTCGTAGAGGCTGGCTATTAGTGCCTCTCGCGGTCTGCGTCCTCTCAGTATACGCCGCAGCAGCGAACAGTACAATTGCAAATTTTTCTGCAAACTTACATTTTAATGGATGCCGTATTCATTTGCACGTTGATAGAAATGCTCGAGGGATTAGAAGCCTGAGGCATAGTAGGCACTGGAGTTGAAAATCGCACCTGACCAGGTACAATAAAGGGAAAGGCAGACGTAAGATTGGACGGTGGAGCAGTGGTAGGGGCAGGAGGTGCGGACGCGGAAGGCAAGAGGCCACGCGCTCGTAGAGCTGCAATTAATGGGTTCTCGGTCGTCGGCATGGCCGCCGGCTGTGGTGTGCTGCTAGCTATTGACATCTGCGGCAGAATGCTGTGGACTTGAGGTGGTGGGGTGGGTTGCTGGCTTGCAGCAGTTGCTTTGATAAGCTCAGCTAATGTTCCCGGGTTGAGAAGCTGCTGAAGAGGCTGTGAAAGGGTCTGAGTTGGGGGAGTGGCCATGCTGGGCGTTGGCATAACTGGAATGGTTGGCGGAACGCTCTGGGGAACTGAAAGAGCAGACTTTGGAGTGAGTGCAGAGACCTGGTCACGGACCAGCCTCAGCTGCTCCTGAGTGAGCTCTTGACGCTGGAGGATGCCTTGCAAGTCTAATAGAGCTTTGAGACGCTGTTGCACAGAAGGGTCAAGGGGGTTGTTGGCGAAATCGCTTCGGGCAGCTGCAATCAATGCCTCGATATCACGATTCAATGCCGGGAGATCCACTTCCGAGCGCTGCGAAGGTTGAGGGGTTGGAGTAGACCGAGGGTCCAGCTGTCTATCCGTTAGATATGACAAAGGCATTCGAGACAAACATTTTGCGACTTGCATGGATCTTACCGCGGCGTGATAATTTTGCGTGTGCCCATTTCGGAGCTGATGGGCATGCCCATTCTGACTTGTGGAAGGCGCGAGCCGAGACGCGCTCTGGTTGAGCGTGGTGTTGTTCGTCCAGCCATGAGGAGGAGTGCCCACCCGGCCGCGGCTAAGTATATCTTGCTGGCTCCTGGCCTGCTGCTGCTGTAGAGCCGCGGTTCTTGCCTTGATCAGAGCGCTTTCAATGCTGCGTGTAATTTCCGGAGGAAAGACGGGTCTTGTATCTAGTGACCCCGGAACAGGTTCCTTCCATGTCTTGAGCATTTCGTCCAGCTTTCTGCGGGTCTGCGAGTCCACCAACGTGTAGGCATTCATGAAAGTCTGATACATATTGCGACCCAGGAAAAGCGTGTAGGGAGTTCCCACATTCTTCACAATGGAGTCGACTACATACAAGGCAGGAAGCTTCTGAGCTGGCGGTGTCTACAGCACACGATTAGAAGTGGTTCAACCGATCAAACTTACAATCAACTGAGCGCCGAGCGAGATACAAAAGCCAAGGAGAAATGCATGCGAGAAACAAAGATAACACCTACTGTTCGAATGTGGTTCTCCAAAACTCGGGAGATGGCCATAGCATGTTCTGTATTCTCTTTGGCTATGACGGTCAAGTTGCTGATCTGGAACCTGTCGTTCGTGGTTAGATCCTCCAGAGAGTTCTTGTAATCCTCAGCGACTTCATCAGAGGCGAGCCCAGACGACATGACAGGCAAGTATGCTGAGAGGTAACGTGTTCTTGGGCAATGTGAGAATGAAGGCGAGGAAGAAAGGGAACAAAGGAAATGGTCAAGTGAATGTAGTAACACTCAGGGATATTGGGCCTTTCTCTTGCCCTCCTTCTACCTGTTTCTTTTTTTCCTTTCTTTTTTTCTTTCTTCTCTTCTTAAGTAGTGATGTTCCTCTTTTCTTTTCTTTTCTTTTCTCAGGTGCTTTCTGCACAGTATGCTCTTTTTCCTTGTTCTTTCCGTCTCTTTCTCTTGTGTTTCTCAAGCCGGTTTCTTATGAAGATAGGTTTCTTATTCTCTCCTCCAGTGTTTTTCCAGAACTGTGATCTCCTGAAAGAGCAAGAGATGGAAGAAAAGTCGAAACT